TTAGCTTATATTGAAGTTAGCTAAGTTAGCCCCGTTTAGCAAGCCAAATTTCACAAGACCTATAAAATTTCAATGAAGTGCCCCTCGAGCTACGTTTCACGTACGTGTACGAAACTCAGTACACACATGTATCACACCAATACCTACAAAAAAGTCTCAAGTTCAAAATCCGAAACCCAACAGGAAGTCCGTTATTTTGAAGGAGGGCACGAAAGATATTTCCTATTGAAATACATTAGATGGAAATTCGTGCTGAGTGACACGAAAAAAGAGGGAAATTCGTGTCCATGAACACGAATCAATAGATTCAATTTCGTGACTATATCACGAACTGCCGTGAGACTGGGTTGAGATACCAGATGTAGTGAGCGTATTTAGACTGCTAGATCTCGAATTCATCTTCACGTCTGTGAGACAGGGACAAGATTCAGTTTCTCACAATTTAACCAATAGAAAACATAGTTTAAATGAAAAGTTCAAAACAGTTCATTCAAATGGTCTGAGGCGGCATGTTAAATTTAAAAAGAAAAAATAGAGTTATATATCAGCCTTTATACTGGTTATCAACAATAGCATAATAATTATAATAATAATAATTAATAATATTGCCTGTGCCCTTTATTTGCAGCATATATTTTATAATATTGCCCATTACATAAAAAATATTACTACTACTACTACAACAACATACTACTATTTAGTACATAATATAATATAGTATTTTTATTATTTTTTATATTATTATTAAAAATTACATTATTAGATGTAACAACAACAACAATAATAATTTTAATAATAATAAATAAATAAAAATAATGATGATGTTTATTTTGAACAGTCTGTGCTTTTTATTTGCAGAATATATTGTATATTATTCATTACATTAAAAATATATCATTAGTAGTAGTAGTATTAGTATTGGTATTAGTATTACTACTACTACTACTTAGCACATAATATTATAATATATTATTGTTATTAAAAATTACATTAGATGTAACAACAACAATAAAATTTTATTCAAAAATAACGTTTATTTTGAACAGTTGGTGCTTTTTATTTGCAGAATATATTTTATAATATTGGCCATAACAACAATAATAATATATCTATTATTATTATATTGGTTTTGTATAATATTATTAACTATTAAATTATATATGTTAATATGATGATATAATATAATGTAATAATATAATATAATATAGGCTTTCATTTGCTGTAATACTAAATGATTTATAGAATCTCGTTTTTTTAAGGTGACCTGCTTGCTTTGTGTTAATATGGTAATTCATTCAAAGTCTGATTAAAGCTCTATTCACAGCCCCCCGATAACAGCCTTATAACATACAGATGAAGGGAGATCTGAAAGAGCGCATTGTATTACCTCAGGGGGTCCCATTAGACGGTGTCCCTCAGTGTTAACATTTGAAGAAACTTAAAAGGCGAAGATGCTGATGCTCTTCAACTGCAACTTGACACATTTGCCCCAGGAGTCTCTTTTTCAGCAGGCCATGTGCCGCTTTAGACACCTCTGGACCCTGACTCCATAGGCCCACTTTCATCATAAATCCTCACATATCTAACACGTCTGAGAACTACTTCCTGCTCTCATTTGCCCACAAGGACCTGCTTCCTGATGGGCTGTTTAGTTCAATAAACAATTCAGCGAGATAAAATAATAGTATACCTAACTGAAATACTCACCTGACCTGTACATTTTAAGCTGATCGTAATAAAGCCCATTACAGTTATCTGATGTGTTCCTAATACTTCTTAGCCAGATGACATGCATAAGGAGTCATGTCATTACACGGAAACTTTTGTTTTTCCGCTGATGCCATCAAGAGCGAGGGCTGGCAATGGGAAGCTATATAAGCAGCACGATTCATCCCAGTCCTGACCACTCTTGATTGATTGTGCTCACTCAGTAACGGTAAGTGGGAAACCAAACATATTTTGGTTGCTTTTCTAGATGATCAAGCTTGCAAAAAGGTGGAAAGAACCAACTCTTTAGGTGTTTTCATCAGTTTAACTTAAAACCGTGCTCTTCATTCATACATATTTATGCATTCATTCCAGGCAGTACATGTCCACAGCTTCTGCCCATCATGGTCCTGTTGCTCCAGGCAGCAGTAATAATCCTGCTGCTGGCCTCTCTGCCTGGATCACTCTCTACTCCATCTCAGCATCTGTGCGGCTCCAACCTGGTGGACGCGCTTTTCCTTGTGTGTGGGCCTAGAGGCTTCTTTTACTCCAGCAGAAGCAGGAGGGACCTGGAGACTTTGCTGGGTGAGGACTCTCTGTAAATGTACATATATAGTTTTTAAATAGTGTAAGATTTTAAATATTAAGTGTTCACTTCCTCTTCCAGCCTTGCTCTCAAATTTAGCAGATTACGAGGTAGCTGAGGCTGATCCATTAAAACAGAAGGTGATGAAGATGAAGAGAGGGATTGTGGAACGGTGCTGTCACAGGCCCTGCACCATCTACCACCTGGAGGACTACTGCAGCTGAACAAGCTGAAATGCTTTGTAAAGGTTAAAGATTTTAATAAATGATCATTACATGCTAGTATTTGCTTGATTGTTTGCTTGTCATTTTGAATGGAAGCTTGAAAGAATGTTAAATGACAGAAACATGTTCTGGTTTCCCTTGTGTTCTAGCGCCCTCTGCTGGGACTCTCAAGAGTTTAGGCTCTCAAACTGATGAGAAATGAATGTTATAGTAATAAAATGTGTTATAATTGTGGTATAAAATTCCAGTGACAAAGCAAATAGAGAGAAAAGCAAGTATTACTATTTTATTAAAAAAAAAGATCCCATTCACACTTTCTGCCCTATTAATAAAAACATTAAAATCTAGTTTTTTCATTAAAGGGGCATCTATAGTTTTTACATTAAAGGGACAGTCCACCCAAAAAATAAAATCGTTTCATTGTTTACTCACCCTCATGTCATTCCAAACCTGTATTACCTTCTTCTGTGGAACATAAAAGATGATAATTTGAAGAATGTTGTCCCATTGACTTCCATTGTATGGACCCCAAAAAAAAAAAGAAAAAGGGAAACGAAACTGTTTGGTCACCAACATTCCTCACCTCTTCTACGTCCCACAGAAGAATCAAATGCATACAGGTTTGGAACGACATGAGGGTGGATTTTTTTGGTGGACTATCCCTTTAAGACCAGTGACAGACAAAGCAAACGAACGATCAAATTAAGTATTAAAATTACAAAATATTGCAAAAACAACTTTTATAGAAAAGAGGAACAAATTGAACAAAACGACTCCTCACAAGGCTCGCTGGAAACTTTTAAACAAAGAGTGGGCTAACTTTGAACTTTTGAAAGAGTTTAAGACAATAGCACACCCAGTGCTGAACAAAACCAGATAACAACATTCTGTGAATCCAAGCCCATATAAGCATATTTTTTCCACTGTAGTCAAAATCAAGAGCAACATTTAAAAAGGGGGGTTGAAAGTTACACATGGATATTGAGTGACAATAACAACGGTAATACCATTAATTAAATTCATACACAAAAAATAAAACATACATAAAAAAAGATCAGCATTATCAGAGGCACAGTCAGGACATTTGAGCGCTGAACCATCCCATCACAGTGTTCATGTTGCAAAGTCATCCATAGGCCAGGGACATTACACAAAGGTAGTCCATGAGTGATAGTTTAATACAATTTTTTGTTGCCTTGGAAACAAAGAAAAAGCATAAGTAGATTTTAAATTTATAATAAAAAGAACATACAAAAATATAAAATGTGTAGCAAGTTAGTCTACTGTTCTCGAGTTACTCACCTTGTGAAAGAGCTGAAGTGGGCTGCTGGTTTTCTTTGAGGTCATATTTGAAAGCCTCGCTGGGGTCCAATCTCCGCGGCGTCTGACCGGACTTGAGCCGATCCAGCTCTTGCTTCTGTTTCCCGACCTGTGCCCTTAGCTTGAACACTTCCTGCAAAACACATGAACACGCTCAGCTACATAGCAAAAACATCAGTCAAACAATGACTATTGCCTTACTTCTTTGAGCTCCAAGTTCTCCTCTTTTAGTTTGACCATGTGTTTGATCTTCTGTTTCTGGTTTTGATGACCCATCAGGTTGGCGTAGGCATCGGCTAACTTGTTCAACTCCGCCTGCGTGGCTCCTTTCTCATTCAACAAAGCGTTCCTCTCTGCTGCAAAGCGGTCCAGCTGTTCCTGAAGACCAGAATAAGCAGACAAATGAGAGGATTCGTCTAGCACATATTTACTGCCCCTTATCTAAGACTTGTCTCTACTGTTTTTGCAATATAAAACCAAGCTATGTGTAGCACCTTCAACTCTGCACATACTGGCTGACTAGTCTTTTCAATGCGACCTTAACACCACAATTGTGAATATTGCAAATAGTGCTTTTACTAAATTTCATTGTGAAGCTTGTTCGCAAAGCTCTCTTAAAGCAAAAAAGAAAAAGAAAAATTTTTTAAAGTCTGCGTGAACCGGAAGCTGCCTACTTTTTCAGTATAGCAGGGTTCCTACACATTTTCCATTTCAAAATTCCATATTTTTCCTGACTCAAATTTCCATACTTCTCAGTAGATGTTCAGACCATGTTTAACATATATGGTTCATACAGCACTATTTTATATTTGGTATATATTATAGTCATCTGTAAATATTCAGCCCCAACCAACATACAGCTAGAGGACCATGACTACATTTAAATATTTTGTTTAAAACAAAATAATCAGTTACAATTAAATGCTCAAACATTTATTTCTCGATAGCCTAGTACATTTTTATTTTATAGAATAGAAAAGAAAGCCTGCTAGAAAAGTATCTAGGGAAACAAATTTATTTTAAAGTCTAGTTCAGTGTAAAAACAACACTACATGTACAAATGTTAATAGTTTAATGACTGTAACTCCTCAATGTTTTATTCTTGTATTCACACCAAAAAAATAAGACTTTTTATATTTTAAAGTTTATTAAATTCCTTGTTACATATTTCTTGTTCCATTAATGCATATGTATTTTTATGTACACATTTAAAGTTTTTAAATTTAAAAATTATTAATAAATGTTTCAAACAGTGAGAGGAAATCGCTCACTCCTCTCTACTGCTGCTCTCTCTCTCTTGCATTGTCTTTTTCTGCCTCCAACTTCAGGAAGTCTAAGAGGTCATTTCTATCTTTGTGCTATAGGCCTATATTTAATTGTGCTATTACGTGTCATTTGTTCACTTGTTCTTATATACTGCCTGTCACTTGTCTTTAATAATGTTTAAACTTTATATTTAGGTTTCTTTTTGGTTAGTGATTTTTGCTGTGGTACTGAAATCGAAATGGTATCGAATTGAAACTGGTATCTAAAATATTGGTGTCATATAAGCTTATTTATTAGAATACAAGATATCAGATCAAAAACAATGGATAACAGCAACTATTTTATTTTTTGTGGCAGGGCCAGTAAAAATGTTGGCAGGGCAAGTAAAAATTTGAACCACTGGCCCGACCGGCGTGGATCCCTGATTGATTTGCTCTAAATGACTTTCGCATGCACACAAGAAACTTTTTTTGTGCGCTTGAGAATCTATTCACATGCGCATGGGAATTTTTCACATGCTTGCGCATTACAATTTTTAGTTTTATATAACCCATTTCCTTTGTGCATCACTGCCATCTTACTATGAATAAAGTGAGAGCATGGACGCACATGAATTAATAGAGATCTACTTGCTCAAAATTTGGCTTTCCTAATGGTAGTACCTCTAATATCAAGGCCTAATGTCTAATTTAGCACATCCTCTGCAGCAGCAGAAAAACCATGACACGAAATGGGCTGATAGCATAATACAGCTATGTGCATTGTCCTATTTGCCAAGTTCAAGGGTCTATAAAAAAAGACCGGTGTTGTTAAAAAAATAAATAAAGAAATAAAGAAAAGTTCAAAATGTGGCTTTCGTTAAGGCAGTATGTCATATTTCAAGGCCTTAGGTCTCTTTAACGCATATTCTGTGGCGGCCAAGACACCACACCGCAAAATGGGCTGATGGCACAATAGGTAGCTCAGTGTGCCCTGTCCTATATGCTAA